ATATAGGAAACATTATTTCTGATTGGCTTAATGAACTGACCTGAATTGGAATGTTTATTTTTTGTTAAGTGCCTTGAGACGACTCTTGTCGTGATTTGGTGCCATATAAGTAAAATTGAATTGAATTGAAAAATAGTCAAATAAAACAAGTTAGTTTTTGTACCTGGTGGTTGCAACAAACAAACACCATTGAAGGTAATCAGAAGTGAGGAACAGAAAATGAAATAATTATTTTAATGTTTAGAGCAGCAGGAACGCCGAGAGGCTGCAGGTGCATCAGTGAGTTTGCGGCCGCAGTGCAGGGGGAGGGGGGGAGAGGGCTGAAGCAGAAACTACCGTTGTTAAAAGAAATGTGTTTAACTTTGAAAATGTGGGCGCAATTTTAATTGTCAAAAACTCCAGCGAACCATTAGTTCATTTTGCTCAAATAGAAATAGAGGCCTGCCTCTAATTCTGGCCCTCCTTCCAATGAAGGCCTGGAGCTTGATGAGCTTGAGTCAAATACAGGCCGGGGCCTGTATTAGAGGATTTACGGTACTTGAAAAGTATTTGACCGTATTACTTTCAAAGCTACTGTTAGGTAACTACAGATTTGTTATATTTTACAAGGTAAGCAAAAATAACTTGTCTTTTGGTCAAAAGATTGCTTCTGTTTACAGTTTTAGTTCATCACTGAACTGACACTCTGTTAATATTGATTGTGAAACGATTTAAAGGGACTTTACGGCATTTTGAATTTTATGCTCGCGATTGCCCCCTCAGGCCAAAAGCATAACGGCAGCTTCAAAAGTAGGCTCATGCACGAGGCGCACATGCTGTACGTGCACACTTCTTAACGAAAATAACAGCTGACACAGTCCCGTGTGTGTGTGTGTGTGTGTGTGTGTGTGTGTGCGTGCGTGCGTGCGTGCGTGCGTGTGTGTGTGTGTGTGTGTGTGTGTGTGTGTGTGTGTGTGTGTGCGTGCGTGCGTGCGTGCGTGTGTGTGTGTGTGTGTGTGTGTCGGAGGACAGAGGACAGGAGAACGCACAGCTAATTAATTAAATAATTTGGTTCTGTACCTTTCTCTTCAGCACAGCCGACAAAGGTTTATGATGGGTCAGTCTTCCTGCATGCTCAGATCATTCCCTTCCCTTGATTGAAAAATTGTTCCAAAATGAAAGTTGAACCCACATCTTTTTAATCTGTGAATTCAATGCCGTTCGGCGAGTCTCAAATAAAAATTTGGGCATCTTACTGTAAAAAAATATACCATTAATGTAAAAAATAAATAATTTATGACCACATCCACAATCGAACCCGGATCTCCTGCGTGGGAGTCCGACGTCTTACTGGCTGGGCTAAAGCACCCAGCGTCTTTTGTATCTGTAACATTTATATACCTGATGACAGGTGAAACAATGTTCAAAGAACAGTTCGGAGCGAAAATGGCTATTTTGTTGCTAATTTGCAGGAAATATCTAGAAAAAAGTAGCTAAGGGTCCTCAGAAATGTAGCTAGGTTCATCACTAGGCGTTAGGAACAGCGACAAAGTCGCTGAGTTGGCACTACCTCACTCTCTGCTGCTAAAGCTACTGATAGCAAATGCTACGGGCGATGCCTGAGCGTGAACGCGCATGAAGCAGCCTGCTCGACCCGAGCAGCTCTTTTTCTGTGATTTTACAGAAAAACAGGCAATCACAGTAAAAATGCCAGGGCTCATTCTACAGGAGCAGGGCATTGCAGGAGAATGTATGAAGAAGAAATTTATTATTTCTATACATGTTTTGGCTGTCAAACTTCCATAATGCCCCTTTAAATCGAAAATTGATTCTGAATCGAATCAAATCGTGAGTTGCTCTAAGATTCACATACCTAGTCACGGCCATTAAAGACCAAAGGTCAGGTGTTCCACTTTACAATTCACGATTACAGGAAGTAGTCCTGGTCCCAAAGCAGCACAGCAGACCACCACACTACCACCGCCATGTTTGACTATTGGTTTTACTCCAGATGAATCGGGATACACGCCTTCCCAAAAAATTCCACTTTGTCTTTTCACGCTTCAGAATATTTTCATATTTTTCCACATTTCTTGCAGCTAAGAGACAGGCCTTCGTGTCGTTTTTAGCTAGCTGAGGCTCTTTTGTAGATCCCAGTCTGTTTTTACTGTTAAATCATGTAATTTAAACTTTAAAATAAATAACTGATGCCAAATTCTTTGGAAGAGGAACTGATGTGTTGCTTTTTGAGATTGTTTACCCTAATTTTGTTTTCTGGATACATATTGAATCGAGTTATCTTTGTTTGATATTAAATTTGTTTACTGATCTGAAACTGGAATGTATTACAAATTATGTATAAAGCTAAGTTTTACCAACAAATGTTCAGTCATTGTTACTAAAAAGGGGAAATATTTATAATCTGAAAGGAAAGAAGGTCTTCAATAAACCAACACCTTAGAGAACTCAGCACTGGTGTTTGTGAGGTAGAATTATACAATAATTGAAATGTTGCTTAACCAGTAAGCTTCAGAAAGGATAAATATACAGGTGCTGGCCAGTAAATTAGAATATCATCAAAAGGTTGAAAATATTTCAGTAATTCCATTCAAAACGTGAAACTTGTACATTATATTCATGCAATGCACACAGACCAATGTATTTCCAATGTTTATTACGTTTAATTTTGATATTTATAGGTGACAACCAATGAAAACATCAAATCTGGTATCTCAGAAAATTAGAATATTCTAAAGGCCAATGAAAAAATGTTTGTTTCTCTAATGTTGGCCAACTGAAAAGAATGAACATGAAAAGAATGTGCATGTATAGCACTCAATACTTAGTCGGGGCTCCTTTTGCCTCAATAACTGCAGTAATGCGGCGTGGCATGGACTCGATCAGTCTGTGGCACTGCTCAGGTGTTATGAGAGCCCAGGTTGCTCTGATAGTCGTCTTCAGCTCCTCTGCATTGTTGGGTCTAGCGTATTGCATCCTCCGCTTCACAATACCCCATAGATTTTCTATGGGGTTAAGGTCAGGCGAGTTTGCTGGCCAATCAAGGACAGGGATACCATGGTCCTTGAACCAGGTGCTGGTGGTTTTGGCACTGTGTGCAGGTGCCAAGTCCTGTTGAAAGGTGAAGTCTGCATCCCCATAAAGTTGGTCAGCAGCAGGAAGCATGAAGTGCTCTAAAACTTCCTGGTAGACGGCTGCATTGACCCTGGACCTCAGGAAACAGAGTGGGCCAACACCGGCAGATGACATGGCACCCCACACCATCACTGACGGTGGAAACTTTACACTGGACCTCATGCAACGTGGATTCTGTGCTTCTCCGCTCTTCCTCCAGACTCTGGGTCCTTGATTTCCAAAGGAAATGCAGAACTTGCTTTCATCAGAAAACATAACTTTGGACCACTCAGCATCAGTCCAGTCCTTTTTGTCCTTGGCCCAGGTGAGACGCTTCTTGCGCTGTTTCTTGTTCAAGAGTGGCTTGACACACGGAATGCGACACCTGAATCCCATGTCTTTCATGAGTCTCCTCGTGGTGGTTCTTGAAGCGCTGACTCCAGCTGCAGTCCACTCTTTGTGGATCTCCCCCACATTTTTGAATGGGTTTGTCGTCACAATTCTCTGCAGGGTGCGGTTATCCCTAGAGCTTGTACACTTTTTTCTACCACATTTTTTCCGTCCCTTCGCCTGTCTGTTAATGTGCTTGGACACAGAGCTCTGCGAACAGCCAGCTTCTTTAGCAATCACCTTTTGTGTCTTGCCCTCCTTGTGCAAGGTGTCAATGATTGTCTTTTGGACAGCTGTTAAGTCAGAAGTCTTCCCCATGATTGTGGTGCCTTCAAAACAAGACTGAGGGACCTTTTAAAGGCCTTTGCAGGTGTTTTGAGTAAATCAGCTGATTAGAGTGGCAGCAGGTGTCTTCTATATTCAGCCTTTTCAGAATATTCTAATTTTTTGAGATACCAAATTTGGAGTTTTCATTAGTTGTCACTTATGAATATCAAATTTAAATGTAATGAACATTGGAAATACATTGGTCTGTGTGCATTGCATGAATATAATGTACAAGTTTCACGTTTTGAATGGAATTACTGAAATATTTTCAACCTTTTGATGATATTCTAATTTACTGGCCAGCACCTGTAGTTGAAAGATGAACTAAGGTAACCACTTTCCCTTAATGTGATTTAATTTAAGCTTGTTGTTATGTTTGTTTAAGGTTAGTGCTAATTTGATGATGCTTTAAATTCCATCCATCCATTTTCGGCTGTTTATCCGCGGTCGGGTTGCCCAGACTTCCCTCTCCACAGCCACTTGGGCCAGTTCCTCCAGGGGAATCCCAAGGCGTTCCCTGGCCAGCCGAGAGACACAGTCCCTCCTGCGTGTCCTTTAGGTCTCCATACCAGATGTGCTCGGAAAACCTCACCAGGGAGGCATCCAGGAAGCATCCTAACTAGATGCCCGAGCCACCTCAACTGGCTCATCTCGATGTGGAGGAGCAGCGGATCTACTCCGAGCCCCTTCCAGATGACTGAGCTTCTCACCGTCTCTAAGGCAGAGCCCAGACACCCTGCAGAGGAAACTAATTTCCACCGCTTGTGTCAGTGATCTCATTCTTTTGGTCATTACCAGAAAACCTGTTAACAATCAGAAGAAGTGCAGAGGTTTTAGTCCATGTATTTTTTTTATCATGAAGTGTTTCTGTTCCTTGAATCGCTTTCCCTATCAGTGCAAAAATCCCCCGTAGATGTGCTGACTCTCACTAGAAATTTCACATTTGTGTGATGAATTAGAAACATGTGAATTCTAGCCTGATCAATGCTGATACGTCTCCTCTAGAAAGTGACAGGCAGCCACTCGCTAGTCTTATACAGTCGGGCACAATGCAGTCATTGGAGAGGACAATGGGACTTTTAATCCAGAGTGTGTATGAGTCAGTGAGACTGAGGCGACGGGCCGGCGCGGACCAGGCACAATGACTCAAACAGACACAAACACATGCAGACCTGGTGGGCAGTTGGCAGTGTAAACACACAGAAGCTCCAGCACCACTTCCATGGTGGGGTCGTCCAACAAGAGCCAAGGCCAAAGAGCGTGCAGCGTCGGCGTTAGACGGGCATCCGTTGCAGCCACCTACACACACAAATACAAAGATCACATGTGTGCATGCAAAAGGAAAAACTCAAGCTCGGATCTTGTTATTTGGGTTCAGTGTGGAAACAGAAGGATAATGAAGCTGGGCTAGCACGAACGTTTAGGTGAATCTCATTGAGAAGCACAGCACCAGTAGTGTAACGATCCATTAAAAACCTATTAGCAGTGAGGAATTAAAAGGCAGAGGCTCACTTTGCATTCGTTGTTGTTATAAAGAGTACTTTGCAGCATCTCTGCAGCCAGCCTGACTTCCTTTAAACAGCCTCCTTCCTGATCAAACAGAGAACAAAACAAAAGAAACACATTTAATAATCTTGGCTTAAAAAACAACCTTTACTGCCCCCATTAGAGAATTAACAGAAGAGAGTTTCTGCAGAAAAACACAGAATATTTATCCCACGAGCTCATGTTGGTTCAACCAAGTAGCACACACACACACACACACACACGCGCACACACACATATATATATATACATATGCAAAAAAACATGTTCACACAACAAATTACACGCACACACATGCACACAAATCTGCACACACACACTCACACACACACACATTGGCATCCATCCGTGTGTACACGCATATACACACACACACATGCATGAACACACATGCTCACAGGCATGCATGAACACAAACACACACACAGAAAGGTGCTGATGCTGGAAGCTTCCTGCTCACCTTTCTGCGGTGAGACGTCCTGCCGGGTCGGAGCGACTCCAGGTGGAGCTGTGATTGTGTCTGCCTCAGCTGCTCCACACAGCTGTCGATGAGACCGACTACAACACAAAACAGATTTAAAGCTGGTGTAAATATTATCTAACAAAAGCACGTTTAAGGCCGGTGTTTGGTAGAAGGAGAACTTTAACAGGAGATGCTCTCTGATTTAGCTTCTACACAAGATGAAGATGTTGACATAATAAAAACCTGTGTGAACACGTATGGTTCTTTCAGGGCCCTGTTGTAAAGTCATGGTTGTTGATGAATGTGGCAGCAGCATGCTGAGGCCTCGGGTGGGGTGTGGTTGCAGTTCATCTCTGATGCGGGTGTTGTGTGCGGTTTGGTTACTGAGAATATGAGGCGAGTGTCACACTGGCCTCATTGCCATGGTTGCATCCCATCCTCATCCTGATGCTAGCACCTCCTCTAGCATATAGCTGATTATTTTTAATAGCTAGGATAATCTTCATTGTTACATCATAGGCCAGGTCAGCTATGGGGCTATGACCTCATCACCAGACTTTAGGGATGAAGGATCACCTTTAGCTGCGTAGTTTTGAGCTGTGGGGCTGCACGCCAGCAGCGTCATCATCGCTCTGGCTGTGAGCTTTTTCAACGGGTCCTGGGAGGTCCTCCTCTCAAAACTCTGGCAACAGAAAAATATATGCAGCTGACATCTTTTCTGAATATTTGAACATCGGTCACAAGCACACAGCATTACAACCAACCTGAAACTTTCCCACCTACCTGCAGCAACAGTTCACACAGCTGGCTGGCAGAGGCTCCGTTCAGGATTTCTGACAGGCCGGAGTCGCGTTTTGATGTGGAGTTTGTGACTTCCACGCTGCGGCGCTTCGTCTCCTCTGTGAAAACTGTAGAGAGGAACTGCAGGGTCGCCGTGTAGAGAAGATGGTCCGCAAACTTCTCATTCACACACTCTGATATTGTTCCTGCAGACAAAATGGAAAAAATAAAAATAAAACTCAAAATGATAGGATAGATTTTCTTTTAATGAAAGACGCTGAAATCCACACTGAATCACATCGAGACTAAACAGAAAATCCATAGTTTAAACCCCTCGACAGCTTGATATTTGTCTACGGCCGAGGTGGAGGAAGCACTAATCATCTGAATTTGTCTGCAGGCACCTGGATGCCATAAACGTGTCTTTGCTGACAAAAAATACACACGCAAAAGACTCAGCAGTCATCTTTTAGTGGACTCATTAAACATTCCTGCGGCATCATTAATCAGGGAGGAGGAAATGAGTGGGAGGAGTAGGGGTGGTTTAATTATCCTCTCCTTGCATCTGTTATAGAAAGTTTACGCAAACACAAATGATGCAGCTGGAATGTTAAAGGAGACGTACTGGGACTTCATTTCTTAAGTTATAATAGTTCTATGGACCATACCTGTTATGGAAATTTTATATTTCATTGCTTTAATCCTGTTAACAAATGTCCTGAAGCATTCTCACACTCAGACAAACCCACGCACTGTTCACACACACATTCTTGTCTCACTCAAACACACACTGACTCTCTCTCTCACAAAATGACCTCACTCCCATTCTTATCTTTCTGCTATAAATAAACTCTGTGACAGATGTTCGAGACATTTTGCCTCGTGCATATGCCACAGTTATAACTGGTTGACTTGTTGTCTCACTGTCTCCTTTTCTCTTCGACTACAGGAAATGGGTTATTGATAAACATATTGATAAAATCCCTAACAATACCAAATATATTCATTAAGTTCTTTGCACTAACTTGCTCTCACGTGAGGCGATTTCATCAGTTTTATTCTGAACATTTTCAGTACCTTCCAGAATGAGCCATTTCAGGGCTCTGTCACTTTAAAAAAAAGCTGGAGCTGGCCAAGCTGCTATAGGCTGAAAAGCTCTGCTTTCCAGGAGGGGCTTGGAGTAGAGCCGCTCTTGCACATGAGAGCTGGTTCTATGCTCATCTCCCTGTTTGTGACATCACAAACTGCATTAGGCGCATAGTTCCTTAAACCAAACCCTAACCAGGCCTTTCCAAAATGTAGCACGTAGGAATTAGCAGCCATTATAGCAGATCGTTGTGTTTCCACCAGCAGCGAAGCATAGTGACATGTCACTTACACTTTGAGTATATTTTTTACGCACTACACTTCCAGGAACGCAAGCTAAGTTTCCAGTTGCTTAACCAGTGAAAAACTTTGGTCATTAACCGTGTGTATTATGTTATGCGCCGCTTACGTATCCAGTGGAAATGCTGGGTGATATAAAACAAATGCACTGATTTATTTGCACATTGGGAATGTTTATAGAGACAGTAGAGACCCACATGCTGCACAAAAGATGCAAAATGTGAGTTTTGCATAATATGTCCCCTTTAATTACCGTAGTAACACTTTTGGTCAAATTGGCCCCAAAGGAACATTGAAAGCTCATTAAAAAATATTTTTTGAATCATAAAAACATTGAACTGACCCCAAGGATAGAAGGGTTAAATATTGTTTTTCAGGATTAGGGAAGGATATGTATACCTACACACTTAAATAATGACTACGCGTCTTTTTACGATGCATTATTAAAACCTCTGTTCCGAATACTTTATTTGCACTTAAAAGACAACCCAATGGGTTCAAATGAAGGCAACTGGACTTGGTTGGTTTTCTGAAGATGTTTCGCTTCTCATCCGAGGAGCTTTTCAATTCTGACTGGAATATGGGAGAGTCAAGCTTATAAACTGTAAATGTCTGTTGTTTCTTAATGAGCTGAAACTACCTATGAATACCCTCCTCTCTATCCCCGAGTAGTCGTTGAAGTCGTTGGATGAAGGAGGGTGTGACCTAGACTGAAACTTTTTTGGAATAAGGTTGAGAGCTGAAAACCGAGGCCACTAAAAAGACAATTTACCTGTGAAACCTGATTTATAATTCATGATTCTACTACTAATCCCTGTTTTCTAAACCAGAGTAATTACCTTTGTCACCTTTTATTCCCAAACAGAGCAGAGTGTGTACCTGCGAATGTCCGCCAGCGTCTCCCCAGCATGGAGGAGACAGACGGGTGCGCTGCTGAGCTGTCTCTCCTCAGCAGAGTAGCCAGGAGCATAAACACGTCCGTCCAGCACGCATGAAACACGTCCCGGGTTCCTGCGTCTGCAGAGGGAGGGAAAGAGTGACTCACTGGTTTTATGACACCAGACAACCCCGCTGCAGGGCTGTAGGGGGAGCAGATGGCTACATGAGACCTGGATGCATAAAGTACAGGATTTTTTATTATTATCATTATTCTAAATACTTTTATTACAGCTTTATTTCACAAAAGTCTGACCTAATCCTTTAGTATCCAGCATAACGACAGCCAGGAGATTCAACTGTTTCAGGAAGTCCATCTGGCCAATCAGCTCCTTGCTCGCCATAACACAAAACTGTAGCAGTTTGGAAAAGCTGGACAGGAACCGAAGTGCAGTTACGAGCTAAGAAATAAAACACACATGCATAGGTGTAGATTTAACAAAAAAAAAAAACAGGAAAAACATTTTGTTGAGCTGTCAACGTTGGATAAGAACAGAAAATAGTAACAAAGCTGGTTTGCTTGGAGCATCAACTTGTTCAGTATTCCACCCACACCAAGAATCTGGCCTCAGATAACCCGCTCTGAAACCGACTCGGTTCCAGCCCACAGAGTTTTCGTGGTGGAGGACAACAAGAATGTACCAATACTGTGTTTTTTACCTGACGCTTGATGTCTTCTCGGTCCCCAGGGAGGATGCTGGGTGACCTCAGCTCAGTCAGACATTTCTCAACGGACTCGATATTCACCAGACTGAGAGGACACAAACGATTGTTATTAGAAATGAAGCTATTACTGTAACATTTCTAATAGATAAAAAATTCTGATTGTCTTTATATCAAAAAATTTGCAGTGAGACTTGAATTAGCCACTCACGAATGACAAGGAAATATGGAATTTTTAAGCATTGAATCAATTATTAGTCAATAAAGCATGGTGAGAAAGCCTTCTTCCTTCTTTTCTTTAAAGTGAGGGTAAATGCATGGGCGGGGACGAATTTCATCCACACTTCCTGTTAGGAAAACACTCCTGTAAGAGGCGTCGCCTGGTGGACCGAGAGAGCGGCACTGAAGCAGTGATAGACCGCAACCTCCCCGCTTGTGCTGTCGAGCGTGTGCATGCACTCACACAAGACTTACCGCTCGGGACAAAGCAGACAGATTCTGCAGCATTCTGGAGGATTTCCTGTTAAACGCGATCGTTAGATGAAAAAGGGGAGGAGGACATTTTTTTTCCAAGGAGGCGAGCGGCTCCGAGCGCTAACGTGTCATATCGTCAGGTGAGAGTGGCTGAGCCAGGTGGAGGTGTGGCTGCCTCACCTGGAGACCAGTGCGGTGCAGCCACGTAGTAATTTGCTGACAAAGTCACGTTTTTCAGCTCAGCCGTCAGCCGCAGCTGGTTCTACATAAATGTGGAGCAGAGTTTTAACCTGAAGATGGAGATAGAATTACGGCTTTGGGCTGAAATATTAAATTTAAAGTAAGTTGCACTAAACTGGCACACTAATGATTACACACCATTAGGCACTCATCTGAACAGGTCATCAGCAAAAAAAATTAATTTAGGCTTACTTGCTCTTTGAAAAGGCAAAAAAAAAAAAAATCTCAAAAACCCATAGAAGCATTTTTGGCCTCTCACCTGGCCAGGACCTGAAGTAGCTGGTTTTGTCGGATGGCAGTGAGGGTGAAATCTGGCAGGATGGCCAGCAGATTGGTCAGCAGGCTGCAGTGGGCTGTCAAGAGGTCAGGAGTTACCATGACGACGGGCTGCACGGCTGAGGGCTCCTCTTGTTGGGAGTCCTGCGATGAGTTGCTTGTGTCTCCATCGCTCTGTCCTGTGAGACACGTCAGACTGTGTGAGACCCACCCCGGCCCTCAACACTAAAGCGTCTCCCTTCAGTAAACTGACAGAAGAGTCTTGTTCTCTGGGCTGTTTATGTAAGGCTGGGTTTAGTTCATAACACCGATCACACCAGGTTTCAGTTGAAGGGATAAATATTATGAAAGTTTAGATTCTGTGAAACCCACACGAGTCTCTGTTGTACCTTGAGCCATCAGTCTACTGGCAGCGGGAGCATCGTCTGCGATGCCCACCGGAGAGGGAACTTTAGGAGTGTTGGGCCTCAGACGTCTGATCTGTGTTTGGATTGGGGGGAAGAAAAGGAAATTGTGAGGATTTATTTGATTTAAAGCAACACTAAAGAGTTTTTAACACTTTAAGCTACTGCTTTAAAAATGGTTTCAGTGGTTCTTGATCCACAAACTTGAGCAGCTTTGTTTTAAAGCACTCTGCTGACCAGAAACTGCAGTTAACGGTTTTCTGGTTCGGGTAGGAAAACTAGCCATTTACTGTGCCGTTAGCTAGCAAAGGCTAGCTGTTAGCTTATTTTTCACTTTACCTACGTCAATACAAAGCGCAAGGAGGAGAAAAATTTTGTTTTTTTTTTGTTGGCGTCATGGCAGAGCCTGGAAGTGAGAGAAATGTATTTGGAGGCGGAGCAAAGAGCTAAATCCAGAGTGAACATCAGCGCGGCCTACACTGGTTTGATGGAGCTAAAGGAGGCTACAAAATGATGGACTGATGGTGACCTGGCTTTGTTGCTACTGGCCTTTTAAGTACTATTCTTGCCCAACTATGCAGATCTTTTTATTTCGTGGCTTATTCAGTATCAGTTGGCTCGTGTTAGCATTAGCTCGTTGTTAGCACTAGCTACAGCAGGCTGCTGCATGGTTGTTTACGACAGTTGTAATTCTGCTTTCAACCAGTAGGAGGAGAAAGCAGGAAATTTATTTAGTGTTGCTTTAAATGACATTTCTGGTACTTATATAAAATTTGTATTATTAAAAAATGATGCAGAACAAAGTTTACTTGTATTCATATATGAACAAATTCATCCAGATGTCAAAAAGGTGGAAAATTAGAGCCCAGATGACCAATATATATATATATATATATATATATATATATATATATATATATATATATATATATATATATATATATATGTGTGTGTGTGTGTGTGTGTATATACATACAGGATAGATAGATAGATAGATAGATAGATAGATAGATAGATAGATAGATAGATAGATAGATAGATAGATAGATAGATAGATGATAGATAGATAGATGATAGATGATAGATGATAGATGATAGATAGATAGATAGATAGATAGATAGATAGATAGATAGATAGATATAAATAATATTAAACATGAGTATTTATGTTGGAGCTTCTATGAAAACATACTGGAGCAGTGCTGAGCACGGTGCTGGAAGTGGAAAGGGAGCTGGAAGGTCGTCTAGAGTTGATGCTGGGAGGTGGGTCCCATCTCCACAATAGCAGAGAGTTCTCAGAATCTAGAGGATTTACACAAATTCAAGCATGCCTGATGAATATAGAAACGAAGATTTCTGTCTCTGTAACCTATCATGAATCAGAGCTCACCAGATGAAGAGCTCTCCTGGAGCGAGGGGCCAGTGCTCCCAGCAGCCCCAGGCCGGAGCTGGAACGTGTACCGGCCACGGTAGCAACTGGAGGCAGCGTGAGCCACGTTTTGAAAATACTGACAGTGGTAAAGCAGAGCCTGCAAGGCTGGGAGACCCACCACAGACACACCAGACACCTCGTCGTGGACACATGGATGCTGAAAGAGCCAACGTTTGATGGAAATGAAAATGTTTCCAAACAAAACAGATTAAAGGTAAAGTGAAGTTGATATAACATTTCAGAAATGCCACTTCAAATCTAGAAGCTAATATTTTGTGTCCTAGATTCTTGTTTCCTTTTCCTCTGTGGTCCCTGCACAGCTAGTTCCAAAATCCTTTATTCAGCTTTCAATCGCTCCGTTTCCAGACATAAAGCGTCTGTTACCAGGTACCTGTATTCTAATTTAAAAGGCTTTTGGTGTTTTGACAGAGAACTGTAATTAATTTGGATGTGAAAACAGTTTCCCTGCACCTCAGTACAGTTCAAATTCAGCAACTCCCACGATCTGAACTCGACAAGAGCTTTTTCTCTCAGCACAAGAGACAAGGAGGTCTGGAAAGGAAGAAAAGGGAGCAAATCCAAAAGGTTCACGGTCTGTAAAAGCCTTTAAACTGGCAGGCAGATCTGCTGACCTGCCAGTGGGAGTCCTTGGCCTCCTCTGCGTTGGCAGGCATGGGCATCAGCAGCAAGTTCTGCAAGATAAACGCAGCCTAGACACACAAACCAAAGAGAGATAAACACACACACAGAGAGGGACACACTTGGTTAAGCTGGACTGCATCAACAACAGTGCCATCTGCCTGTGTTTGGCTGCCACTACACAGCAGTCCTGCCTCGTGAAATGCTTTGATTGTGCAGAAATGAAGCTCAACATCTTTGTTTTGACTCCTGTGAGGCTAAATAACATAGCGTACCTCCCTGCGGACCATGCTGCTCTCCTGCTGATCCAGGAGGATGTTGAGCAACGTGCCCCACAGACCTCCGCTGATGTTCTGACAGCTGGCACACAGAGCCTGGCACCCGCTGGGCACAGAAGTCAGAGCTGCACCTAAACCCAAACTGGCAAACCTCACCTGAGAGGAAAAGAAAGACGTGCGTGTTTAACGGGAGGGGGGGGAAACGCGTGCAGGCCCACACGTTCGATGTCTCTATAGATTACAAAAGGGATTTCAAACAGGTTGTGGTTGTTACGAACACCTAAAAGTACAATTTGAGCGTTTCCTTGTTCTCTTTTAGCTGTCGGAGATGGAGAAGTCTACCTGGTCGAGGGAAAACTCTTCAGATTAGGTGACTGGCTGTTAGCTGTCATGTAGAGACTCTGTCTTTGAGATTTTGCGCATTTCATCCCAAAAGCCAAATACTGAAAACTTGTTTTTAAGCAAGAGGTTTATGAAGTTAGCATGTAGAACAATAAAAAAGCTATCTGAGGGACGATGGAGACTACTGAATAAGTACCTCCTGATCCCGGTCCACCCACAAAGGGATCAGCCAGGCCAATCCCAGCTGAGAGGAGCCAGATTCCTCCATTGTTCCCTCGTTTCCCAAAGACCACTGGGAAATGAAGTCCTGGAGCACAAAAGCAGCAAAACTTTAATTATACATTTCATTATGTCCAGTATTTCTGATCAGGCCTTAAAGCAGAAATCTGGAGTTTTCTCTCACAGGGCGACATCTAGAGGTGGAAAAAATGTATTGCACCTTAAGCTCCTCCCTGCTTCTGTGATTAGAGCTGGAAGAAACGCCTATTACTCTCAAGTTATGCTAGTTATTTGTTTTTATTTAATTTAAAGACTTACTTATCTGCAAGAAATGTCGCCAACTCTTAATCAGTCTAGGCACGTTCGCAAACGCCTGCACGCTCTGTGACTGACATCGGTACGTAGGCGGATGTCCAACGCTATTGGCTAATGCTGAGCAGCAGTCAAGTCAAATTGCAAGAGGCTCTACGGCACGGGGGGGGGGGGGGGGGGTGATGATTTACCTACATTTCACCACTTTCTCAGACTTCTAAACAAATCGTACATAACGGAGAAGCTGTAGCAGAAGCATAAGATTTGCGATGAGTACGTCACATTATTCATTGATCTGATTGGTCCTAGTGTTGTCCAATAGCATGTGAAGATCATCTGAAAGACAACCAAGAGACGTGTTTCCATTGTCGGAGCTTCAGGGTAAATTCCAGTCTCAGTCCTCTCAGCTGTTGTCTCCATTCAAATTCAGCCCTTTCCAGACTTTGCGCAGACGTCAGCATTTCGCGACTGCTTCTGCAGGAAGTGATGTCACCGATCAGCGCCAAAAAGAATCCACAGTAACATTAATAGCATTAAAAACATTAAACGTTTTATTCTGTTGCAGTATGGCAACATGTATCGTAATCAATTTGGAGCATGATAGCAGCTGCGTGATGTAAAATGGCCTCCAGTGACCAGAAGGGCCATTTTTTACGAAGCTTTGTAAGAAAACAAAGCCCAGGGAATGAAGGTGTTGTGGGGAAATTCAGCCGTGTTTTCTGGCGTCGGGAGTTTTGTACGGGCATTTTTAACCCTTTGATGCATAATGGTCGCTACAGTGGACAGGTACTCAAAATAGTTATTTATTTGTTTTTGCTATTAAGCACAGCTGTTGAAGACTTTATGGCATTTGAGCCTCTTCATTTGGACTTCAGTAAGCCAAGCCAACATATTTCATGCTCAGAATGCACGCTGTCCACTGAGGTGGACATGTAATAAATTATTTGTAAATTATAAAATTTTACAAAAAATATTTGTTGAAATTTGTTTCATTCACACCTAAAGACGAATGAAAAAATTTGTTAAAAAAATCATGGTTGAAGATTTCATAATTCATGCATCAAAGGGTTAAGTGTGATCAGTGCTTATTTTCTTTCGCTTCCATTCTGCTTCACAAGCAAATCTTCTAATTCTTCTGGTTGTTTTGGACGTCTGCTGATCTAATTTCCTACTGATCCGCAATCAATTAACCAAAAGTTCAGCTCGGCAACTCTACCGAGCTATTCCGAGTACCAACCCCTGGTGAGGTTCATGTAAAGTTATCCTACAGCTCAGAAAGTGGGAACACGCCTACAGATCCCCCCACCCCCCCACCACTGAGCTGTCAACGGGTCGTGGCCAGACTATAGTTTTACTTACGTGGGACGGTTGCCAGGCTAACATAATTCCTGAAAGGGGGAAAACTCTGGATTGCTGCTTTAAGAGCTGGCTCTTACAACCAGAAATCAGGTCTGATCCGTGCCTTGTTTTTGTTCACAGCCATCATCTCATGAGACAAGTGCAGCAGGCAGATGACGGCGTTCTTGGTCACACCTTTCCCCATGAAAGACGAGGAGTTCCCTCTCCACTCCACGTAAAACGAGGAGATCACCTGATTAAACGACGCAGAGCAAGCGAGTCAAATTCTGCATCTTTCCCAGAAAAAATGAAACAAAGCTTGTTATTCAAATGGCACACAGACACGTGAGCATACAGTAGCTAGTGAGGCATTCAAATTAAACTTTAATTGAAGCTGAGAGACTAATTATTTTGGTTTGGTGTGCCATCAGGATGTGAGCCGGCACAGAAAGAGCAGATGTAGAAACGAGAGCCAAAGACCTGCTGAGCTTTAGGACCCTACGCTGCCAAAAGAGAGAGAGAGAGGAAGGTCAGAGGGGTGGGAAGAGCCCCAGAGTTACCAGGTAGACGGAAAATCATCTGTAAATACCCATCTATGTCTGTGGTAAATATGCATTTTATTTTAAATTTGACGTCAATAAAAGTTGCTCAGAAGAGATGATATTCCACAGGGTTCTTCATTCTTAAGCAAAAACAACCGTTTTTGACACCTTGGTGCTGAGGAGCGCTGCACAAGCTGGTCTACACTGTTAGGCTATTGTTTTATGCTCTGTTGAACAGCTGAACAGATGGAAAAAGCAAGGTTGATTAATCTCATCAGCATCTTAACAGTGCGGCATATCAAATCAATGAGATTTTTTTCATCCCTGCCCGTCTCACAGCTACATTTAGCAGCATTTTAATTAAATCCCCTCATAAAGTGCAGCAGTTTCTGCTTTTCTGTAGGCACTCTCAGATATGATTTACAAGCAGGAGGTTGGAATGAGCCCAGTCAACACAAGATCACACACACACACACACACACTGATGCATAAACACACACCTCCAATAATCCACTGAGATACTTGGAGCAGAGGGAGCTGGGCTCCAGGTCAGGGCAGTGGGAGCTCCAGCCAGGCTGGGCAGTCAGGCTCACCATGCCCTGCAGAGTCCTCTCCAGGCTGGGGAGGCCATAGAAACGTGGGGCATCAGACACCCGCAGGCTCTGAAGCAAACGGACTGCCAGCTGGCTCCTAAAGGGGCCCGCTGGTGCCAAACACAGCCTGGACCGACGGGGAGAGGCGACACAGAGGAAACCAGAAAATCACACAGACAGAAAAAGTAAGGATAACGACTGCTTTTCTTTTCTAAAAATCCTAATTTGATGTCAATAAAAGATGAAATCGTGGTTTTAACTCCTATTATTGTATTGTATTGTATTGTAAATCTCAACAGGTGCGAGTCTGACATCATCCAACCTGTCGGCGGTGTGTGACAGTCGGTGTAGTAGCGTGTTAAAGAAGCCGGTGAGTTCCCGCTGCAGTCTCTGTCTGATGTGGTTCTTCAGTTCCTCCGGTTCCCCCGGGCTCCGAGGGGAGCTCTGCGCCTCCACACCGAGGAGCAGATGAAGGAGAGCTGCAGTCTCCTGGAGCGGCAATAAATTAAACCAGGCGAATGGCCTTCGCTGTTAAATTTAACGTTACCATTCTTATTTTACTTCATTTTAATGATTTTTATCCATGTTTTCCTGCAAAAAGAGGCTTTTTTACAAGTGTGTTAAATCATATCGTCAAATAAGTCAAACAGATCGGAGCTGCAGGGACAGAAATATGCAAGAGCACAAATGCGGCAGAGGCTCCTGAAACAGCTGAGCATTTAAAGAAAAGACGGGGTTCTGCGTAAACGGGACGGCGTTATTTGCACAAACATTTTCAAAGAGAAGTTCACTGAGGAAGCGTATTTTACTTTTTAAACGTGAGTGGTCACTCTGAGCTTCCCATGCAGGAAGAACGTAAAAATAGTCTTCCACCCTATTTCCTGCATTAGCTACTGATAGGCTAACGGTCAGGTCAGAAAAAGCCACACAGATCTACGTCACCCTGTGATGTTGCATTCATGGACTCACTCGCTCACCCTGGCTTGCATTGCATCTTGGCTAGTAGAAGCTAACCATTAGCACCTCCACAACATAGCAGAACTTCTTTGGGCCCGTGTGATTTGTAGAGATAAAACATCAACGTTGCAAAGCAAGCCCAGTCACCGGTAGATTCGTGTTGCTGTTAGCCAATCAGAGGAGATGTCCACATAACAAGAATAATAATGAGTAGGACTAGGAATCCTGCCATTTTATGTGTCCCACTCCTCCAGATAATTTCTAATTCCTGAAACAGGAGCGCCAGAGCTTTTTTCCCCACAGAGTATGACTCAAGGCCTTCACTTATACTGGAAACCACTGATGAGAATGAATCATTGCAAAAAAAAACAAAGCAGAGCTTAAATTCCTCTCCTCGGACAAAAGCTAACGAGAAAGAGCGAGACAGAAACAGCTCCGGTGATTTATTCAAGTTTCCATTGCTGTATTGAAGAGGTAATCAGATTACTACTGATCTACACAGCAGAGCACCTTTTTTAGGTGAATAAGATGCAACCGCAAGAAACTTGGACCACGCTGTGTTTAAGAAAAGAAAAACTTTTGAGTCCTAACCTTTAAAAAGTGTCCCGGTGACGTGTTATTTTTATTTATTTTTTTTACTTTCATGCTCGTCCAGAAAGCCTAAATGATCCGTACCTGGTTGAGAAGCAGCTCCAGTATCCAGCGCAGGTCCCCGTCCTCGGCTTCACACACAGTCTCAGTGGGAATGTGTTTGAAGTAGGTATTCAGGAGTGTCACAATTCCCACCAGCAACCTTTCGTCCTCGACACAGGCTGGGCGCACCTGGACAAACCTGCCAGTAGGAAGAGCAGACGGAAGCAGTGACAAACAATCCTCACACCACACATCCAGCTTTCTGCTCCTTTCGCTTGTTTATCTCACTCCTTTGTGATAAAACATCACAGCAGAGAGTAATTTGCAGGAAAAATACCCATTTGAAGATTTCCAATTAAAAGGAAACGACATTTCAGTCAAACTAAAGAAATTCATCACAAAAGTGGAAGGAGAGAAGCAGAAATCAAACTCAATCACCCAAAAAAACACAAATTTAGAGATGTGTGTCCTGAAAGAACAGAGATGATGAAAATAACATTTAAATAATGCAAACCTGCAGGAAACACTCAAAGTAAAGTTAAAACAAAACTTCAATAAAAAAAAATAAACAGGTGTGAATCATCAGATAACTGATGTCCCCAGCAGTTAGCTGACTGTTTTTTATATGACTATTTCTCATCATTAATGTGTTTCTACTGACTAAACTGCATAAAACGAAGCTTTTTATTGAATATGGAGAGCAGCTTTTGACTACTTTGCAGCAGCATTCACAAGAGAAGAACGCTGAGATTTTCCTTCAGTCCTTCAAAATAAGAGACTCAGAAATACTCACGAGCCTCAGAACATTTAAAACTTATAAAACTAGTTTATTCATATTTAGAATCGGGTAAAACTCAAAATAGTTTACAGGCTATAGAAGTTTTGAGTTTAGGTTCAGCACAATGGAGCTCACTTGTGAGAACCACTTTAAAAGATTCAAGCAAGTCTGACTCTGAATGTGAAATAAAAGACTTTTGAGTAGTGTGTTGATTTTTTTACCCATAATCCATCTGATTTATGAATTAGCATGTTATCAACTATATAGATGACCCCTGAAACCTGTTTGCAGGGTACCTGGTCAGTGCTGCCTGCCAGCTGAGGGAGTGAAGGACGTCTCTGCAGCTGTGAGGTGAAACATGAGGGCGAGCCAGCCTGTCGAACAACAAGTAGAGGCTGAGCCTGGAGAGGGCAGAGGCCACGGACCTGTGCCCCGCTGCAGTGGCGATGGCCCGGATGCAATCCTGCAGTGCATACGGGAGGTGAGATGCCTGCATCGACACGAGCTGGGACTCTGACAGCTGCAGGTCGGGATGAAATCTACAGGGGATCAATGTAGATAAAGGAAAAGGAAGTATGTCATATAGATGGCATACTTCTTTCACAAACATCAACATTTATGGAAACAGTCCTTCAGAGTTTGGGTCATTCGATTAAGCGGAGGCTGTTTTGAATGGAAAGATGAAGCTACGCCTGCAGAGCTGCACTTGCGACCCACCACAGAGCCATCCAGCCTAAGCAGCCTCTCTTCTCTTTGTCATGGCGCCGAGACACACTTCAGATGGATGGATCTATCTCTGGTGTGTTTCAAATGTCTCTGCCTTAATCAAGCTGGTTAAAAGTGTGGAGAGACATTCTCATTTGTTTGAATTAGGTCACATTAGTGGTAAACGAAGACAGATGACACACAATATGCCTCGACTCTGATTTGAATACTTTACCCAACTCCCAAGTGGGGACAAACGTTTCTAAGCGGAAACACTCCGATTGTCCCAGAACTCCTTTATTAGAGACCAAACTGATGTATAATGACATGTTTTTGTTACTAAAACTCATACAGTGCCGCTTTTTTAAAGACATATTCCACCTCTAAGCATTTTGTAACCAGCTCAGTCCATCTAATCTGGCAGTATTGTTAGCTTTAGCTTAGCATAAACAATGTAAGTAAATGGTAACAGCTAGCATTCCGCATTAAGAAGTCATGAAAATTACTCAATAATTATCCTACTTTTTCTTGGTGACCTCAGTAACTGCATATGAAAATAATAAATAATTAGGATCATTACTGAGTACATTTCATGACTTTTTCATATGAAATGCTAGCTGTTACCATTCACTTACACTGTTTATGCTGAGCTAAAGCTAACAGAAAACTGCCAGATTAGGAGAAGGGCTTGGCTACAATGCTTTTTCCCACTTATCCAACTCCGGGGAATACAGCAGCAGCCTAAAGTCCACCTAGGGATGGAATGTCCCTTTGAGAAAAGAAAATGATAAAAAGAGCATCCATCAGTACACACTCAGGATCACCAGCTTCACTGTTCAGCTTTTCAAGGAGGTTATCCATCCCAGAATGCCATGCGGTGTTCCAGGCCACCTGCAGAGCTCGGAGGGCGGGGCTAAGGGTCAGAAGGTCAGCAGAAGGAGCCAGAACACAGCAGTAGGGGCTAATGGCATGATGAGTCGCTGCCTGGAAGGGGATGTTGTACCTCGAGGAAACATAAACCATAAATTAGAAAATATTTGATAGCTTTTAAGAAACAAAAAAATGAAATGAAAGGTTTTACCTGCGAACTGCTGTCAGCGGTAAGGAGAAGGGTGGATGGGTCACATCTGTGGCGGATTTGTCTGACCTGAGGAGAAAAGTCACATAACAGGATACGTTTAATTCAAAATGATTTAAAACTAACTTTTGTGTCACTTTTGAAGAACTTTGATTGCAGCTCTAGTTATAAAAAATGTAAACAAACCACATCTGAATGCTGGCGATCTCATCAAAGAGCAGCAGGCTCATGAGAACAGCCGCTTCACTTCCGTTCCCCTGGTTTTCCTTCAGAATCAACGATGCTGCAAACCACAAACACAGTTTACTGAATAACCAACACTTTTTTATTGAAACGTTTAGCATTTTGCATGAATAAACTTCTCAAATCTTTTTCACAAATCTCTAAAAGCAGCTGACTGCATCAGAGCAAGCTGTGGGAAATAAAATCACAAGTATCTGCAGCATTTCTCACCGGCTCCACGGCAACTAGTTGCATCATACGGACACATAAATGCGTCATTATTAAATGCCGCTTACTGCAGTGTGACAACATATTTAGAAGCAATGCATGAGTGGATGACTTGAAATTTTACCCATGAGCCTCTGGGAAGCATGTGTGTAGCGGTTAGTTAACGAGCTGCTGTGTGAGCGTACCCCTGAGCAGGGCGAAGAGCGGAGGGCTGCGCTGAGCCAGGCTGCGCCTCAGAGAGGGATCGGCATACACCAGTTTTCTCAAGATGCAAACACAGGACTCCAGAAGACAATCAAAGCTCTGGGGAGAACAGCAACATCCTCGCTTGGCGTTTAATTGCAAACACACACACACACGCTGCACCTGTCACATGCCCACACACATGAGCTCGACCCAGCTTTAGTAACGGGGAGGTGCAGCCTCTACGTTAGGTGTCTGCAGCCCTGATCTGCCACCCCCGTGTAGCTAGACATGCTGGACGATTACCCCTGGTGGTCTCCGTTTCCAGGACTGGGAATGATCAGCAGAGTGAAGTAATTTTGGACCGAGGGCAGAAATCACTCCTGACCAGAGCCTGTCTGACACTATTAACACAGGCCATTTCATCCTCCTGTCATCCACGCCTCAGCGGCTTTCCTCCACACGAGCACAAATAACCAAGCAGATAGAAGAGCATCTGACCCCCATTTACAGCTTCCTGTTCGGTTTTTATTTGCATTCTGCAACAATCTTCACAGATTTTTTTTTCCTTCTTACCTCGTTGCCACTCACACACTCTGTGATTAACGACAAGACTTCATCAGGTAAACCAAGATTCTTCAGGACTGGATGCATGGTTGTGTCTGCAGAAATAAAAGGAAAGCGATTAAGTCATTAAAACTTTAAATGACTGTTTTATTTCAGTTTACAACTTTACACACAATTCTTTCTGCCGACTTGTTCCAGAACATATTTCCGTTTTACCGCTTTCTTCTGAAGACGCCTCACCTTGTAGCACAACACACAGCTGTTCTGCTGCCGATCTTCTGAGGGAAACGTCAGACGTGTCTGTGTGAAGGATACTAAACAGCTTCTCCACCGACTCCACCTTAACAACAATAACACGAATAAAACGTTTGTTCCCATCAATGCAAATCCCTAAATAGGTGAAAGTTGGGCCCTGCTGTTTTCGTGTGTTTGTTAGCAAAATATCTCATTCGAAGGATTTTATTACAACTCACAGGAAGTTATTAATTTTAGGAGTCCGTTTAATTCAAGATGGCCGACCCAACTAGAAAGAAGCAGAAACAGATGTAATTAAGTCCATTTTATGAATTTTGAGCTAAACTTTTGACATGATAGGGTCTCTAGTAGGAATGAACGCCTTGTGAGTTGTGCTCGGGAGGAAAAAAGCTTCAGTGCACCTGTGTCAGGATGTAGACGTCAGCTTGAGGAGAAAGGAGCTTCATAGGGCAGTATTTGGAGATTTATATCCTTATTTTTGGCCATCTTGCCTCTGATTGGGTAACATCAATGCAAATCTACCACTGATTTCATTCACTCTGCAACGTTGATATTTTATCTCCCCAAATAACACAAGCGTGAAGAAGTTCTGCTGTGTTGTGGAGATGCTAATGCTAACAGTTAGCTTTTACTAGTCAAGAAATTCTCTTCTGTTTCCTGGACGTTAAAGAAACAACAACAGTCTTCGAGTCAAGATGGTCCATGAATGTGAAGTGACAGTGTGAGGTAGATCCGTCAGGCTTTTCTGAACCAAGCCTTTTGCAGTCTATTTTCTATTAAAAGCTAATGCAAGAGATAGGTGTAGGAGACTATTTTCATGTTCAGCCTGCATGAAAAACTCAGAGTGATTGATCGTTTGTATTAAACCAAAACATGGTTTCCCAGTGAATCAGCTCTTTAAAGCAGTTTTTTAACAATTGAAATTTAAAAATATATATGTTAAAAAAGGTAAACCTATGATAACTTAATTTTTGGCCAACGAATAAAACCGACGAGACGCAAATTGGCAAAGACAAAAATTCAATCAGAAGACAGAAGCGAGAAACAAATAAAAGAACCACAACAAGATGAGATGAGAACCAATCATAGTTTGCCTTATTCGAGGTGAAGCTGAGGTGATGTTAAATACGGGTAAATTATGTAAAGTTGTGCTGTATGCATGTGATTAATTGGGATTTATAATATTGTATGAGGTTTTCTTTATGCATGCATGACACGAAGCTCTATTTTGTTTGTATTTATGTGTCAAATACATTATAGCAATAATTATACAAAATAGTTAACTTTATTAATATTGAGAGATGCAATTTCAAACTTGATAACGTGCGTTATTGTATTTTCCAGGATTGATTTTTATTACAACAATAAAAAGTAAGAGATGTGTTAATAGAAAGAGTGAAAAGTCTTCTTTTTGTATTACATTACAGTTTAAAGTGGTTTCAGTTTCACTTTTCGGTGATCTTCTTAGTCCCTTCACCCCCAGCAGGTCCCTGAGGTCCAGTGATCAAAGCCTACTGGTTGTGCAGCACCAGGCTAAAGACCAAAGGTGACAGATCATTTGCTGCTGTGGCCCCCAGACTCTGGACCTCTCCCCCTGAGCCTGAGATCAGTGGACTCAGTGGTCTCCTTCAAAAAGCAGCTGAAGACTCACCTGTTCACGCTGGCTTTTATATGACCTTCATCACCCTCTCCTTGTTCTGCTCTCCCCATCTATTCCACCTTCCTAAGGATCCACTGATTTCCCTCTTTCCCTCTCTCATATTCACTCATTCATTCTAAACATATTTTTAATCATTTTCTAAATTCTTTTTTATATTTTACATATTTTGTTTTTGTGAGGCGCCTCGTGATTTTCATCTTGAGGCGCTATAGAAAAGATTGTTTCTTCTCCTTCGAGTTGGTGTGGTTGCCACTTCCTTTAATGAAATCCAAAACTATTGCATAAGAAAAAAAAATCTGTTGAATAAACATATTTTTTATTTAGTCAACAAAAATTAGACTAAAATGAAAACAAATAGATGATTAAATTTTGAATTAATTTAAAATGAATTTTATTGATTTTAGACCTCTTCTATGGAAGAAAATATGTTCCATAAGTAAAGCTAAAATGCATTAGCAGAAATGCCTTTTCATTTTCACAGCACAACAGCTAGTTGTGACTCATAAATAAATCGAACAAAAAAGTTTTTAAAGATTTTCTTCTTCTAATGTGCACCTTCTGTGACATATTTGCTTCCATACTTTCTCGATTTGTTACTTATTGGGTTATTCGTTGAAGTGCTGTGTTTTAAATGAAGTTTTATCCTGTTGCATGCATGAATTTTTTTAGGTTTTTATTGGTTTCCTTTATTTCTTTTATTCTCTTTTACTTGCTTTTTAGTGTACAGCACTTAGAGCTACCTAGATGGGTAACGTGAAGGTGCTTCATCAACAAATGGGTCAAAAGACTAAAACTAAATTCAAATTTATTTTCAAAATTAAGAGTTGTTTAAAGACTTAGAAGTTTCTACCTTCAGGATGGACTTGCGTGTGTCGAGTGTGACGTCCACGGGATTTCGGAGGCAAAAGAGGTTAGGAAGGGATGCAATCACAGATTGATCCACGTCTGGTCTGGAAGTTTTTGCATCCCCACTGCTGGTAAGGTGGGGCAGGACTTGCTGCACTGCTGCTACTCTTACACTGTTAATAACAGAATACCAGAACTGAGATTACACCCCAAGTCAGGAAATTTCATAAAACCCAAATATTACCTTACAAAATATTAATAAACTTTAATTATGTGATACAACTGCATTGCATTGCTGCTTAATAGGTAAACGTGTTTGAAAATCCGAATAAAAAATGTCAGGCAGGACAGACAAATCTATTAACTGCTGCTAAAATGTACCAGGGCTTCATTGGTGTTAATTTCCATCTCGATCAATATTCATGGACTGGGACTTGAAGGGAAGCACGTTCACACAGGTCTCAGAGCATTTAGAGGACTCGATGAGGAAAGACGGACAGCTACACACGGGTAAAATATGTCAAAGAGCAAAATGTTCAAACTCTAACAAAAACACCCGGAGACCAAAAGAACCAAACTCCTAAAACGAGTCTTAACAAACAAAGATGCAGCAGAAACCAGAGATGTAGTACTCACTATCCACATAAGCACACACACACACACACACACACTTCATAATCAAAACAGAGACAGACCCGGAGCTCAAACTCACGTGGGCTGTTTGGTGAAAAGCAGTCGGAGCGCTGCTTTTAGCTTGGCTGTACTTGTGGGAACGTCGTCTCCTGCCACGTCCGACATGTCGCTTATCAGCAGGACACACTTTCCAAGTGACTCTTCAGTGCTGGCATAGCCCTGCCACACACACACACACACACACACACAGTGTGACTGTCTTAGAAGACAAAAGGGTGAACGGGGAATTCCAGCTGAGTGATGCAGCAGTAAATGAAATCTGCATGGCTTTGATTAGGGCTGGTTTCATTTTGTCTGCTGTTGACATGTCGGCTTCGTCTCCGAACGGCCTCCTTGAACCAAATCACACTTGACAACCTAGTCAGAATCTCATGAAATTTCATGGAGCCTTTCTTGGCTTTCCCTCACCTCAAACCGTACAATTAATAGAAGATAGATTTTGGAGGTTTGGGGCGCTCAAAAAGAAAACAATAAGACACACAACAAGTAAACGAGAGAAATCTCTCCCATGGGCGGAGCAATATGCAGTCTTTGTCGTTCAAGAATATTACACAGTTGATATTTGCTGCTTTGATAATACGTGCCTTCATAACTACAATGCAATAATTCACAACATGGTGCTGCCTTAAAGCTTTGTTTCATTCATTCTTTCAATAAATCTGCAGTGGTCTCTAGTATAAATGAAAGCATCGTGAGACATTTTCTGTTGGGGAAAAAAGCTCTGGCGCTCCTGTTTCAGGAAGTAAAAGTTAGTCAGAGAAGAAGGGAGCAGAAAACAGCTGGATTTGGAGTCTTACTTAGTATTATTTCCTGGTATTCTGACATGTCTCCTCTGATTGGTTAATAGCAACGTTGATGCTTCATCTCCATAAATAACTCAAGACCGAAGCTGCTAATGCTAATAGTTAACTTCTACTAGCTGAGACGTTCTCTCTTGGACGCTAAACCAACAACAGCTTTCCCCGTAGCGAGGCAAGATGGCCGAGGCCCAAATACTAATTTTACAGAGTGACATCTAATCTCCGTCTTTTTCCTATCGGCGGCTAATGCAGGAAATAGGGGTAGAAGACTATTTTTACGTTTAGCCTGCATGTGAAAATCAGTGTGATGGTTGTATTTCTAAATGCTCTTTAAGATTGTTCTGATGAAACTCCTACTGTGTGTGAAGAAAACACCTGTAAAATAGGTACGACCAGGTAAAGTGCCTCATTGAATCTGTCCCAGGCTGATGCTGTCATCATCAATCGCCCCTTGAGCAGGAACAGCAGGATATCCTGGGCAGCTGTGTTCACCTATAGATCACAGGTAAACTGCTGAATTCACCAAGCAAATGAAACTACACATGTCTAAATCTCACACACAACAAATTTTAGTCATAATGATGTCTAAAGAGTCGAGTTTGGAAATCCAGTAAATGTTGAGCAGATGGTACCTTTTCTGCAGAGTCCTGGAGTCCAAAGGTGCTTATTTCATAGAGAACTCTGTGGTGGAGGAGGAAGTGGACCCTGGCGCATGCTGCCTGTTTCTGTTGTGGCAGATTGTGGATGCCAAGGCAATCCTACGAATACGTAATCACACCAAGTCATGTCAATTATCCCCCAACTTGAGACAGTGATTTGTAAAATAATTAGGGATGGGACTCGATTAAAAAAAATTAATCTAATTAATCAGAGGCTTCGTAATTAATTAATCCTGATTAATCACATTTTTACCATTCAAGATAATTTGCCCACAAGCAATTATTTTAAAATAATTTAGTGAGAAACAGGTGACATACCCACACTTTAATGGTAGTTAACGCGTTAAACTTCCACCCCAATAATAATATAAAATTTTGAAAGAACTGACTAAGACTAGTTTACATTTGGATTTCCCAGAAGAAATGCTCAAATTTAGGCTGCACCAGGGTGGTATGTTCTTGCTGTGACCCTTTAGATCCGCCTATAATTCATGTCCACCCATAAAACGTCTCCTTCTGACCTTGACCAGGTTTAAAGTGCATTGGTATGTTTCCATTTTGACAGGCGGTGAAGGATGAGACAGCAGCTTGAGGAAGAGCTTCTGGCTCTCGGTCTGCAACAGAGGACTGGGCTGATCGAACTTCCAGCTGATCAGGAACAGTCCAAAATAAAAAAACATTTAAATGATTCAGATTAGAATTCAGATGCAAGAATGTAATCCTCGTCTTACAGGTAGGAGACCATGTGGATGCATTCTTTGATGATGGGCAGATGCTTGTGAAACGGAAGACCGTCTATGGCTTGATCGGCAAGTTCCAGCAACTCCAACCAGTTCTTCTCCCCCTTCAGAAAGACAAACATCTGTTACTGTCCAAAAATAATGTCCACATCTTCAGCTAACATGTCCAGCAAGTCGTACTTCAGCTTTCACTTCTTTCAGGAAGTTACAAGTTGACTCCATCCACGTGGCGGCTCGGATCACCCTCCTGTAGGTGTCATGGTGGTCTGAGTTCACCTGCTCCAAGTAGGCCACTGCAGTCTCTTGCATGCTGGGCAATAAATTTCCCAATGATGCATCCAAACATAGGTGGAAAAGAGCTGTCGCTGTGTTTTCTGGGAGGTTATCATTAGCCTGGGCGAGATATGGAGAGACTTTTAAATAGAAATAACATCCTGGTGAGATTTGGTTGCACAAACACGAGCACACACCTTTTCTGGAGGGAGGACAGTCTGTAGGAGTTTAACGGTAAAAATGGCAGTGCCTGTATACGCCATTCTGTGATGAATTTGGGAACAGTGGGGAACCTCTGCTGAGCAGTTCTGATGATAGCTGAGAATATCCCCCAGCAGCTCCATGCAGGCTTGTAGCTTCTCCTTCTGAAATACACACAAAGAGAAACATCAAAAATAAACAAGACAGAAAGGCACGCATGCACACACACACACACACATACCCACACGCAGTGTGTATTTTCATAAACTCAAACACAAACGCTGGCTGCAAGCCAGGAGAAACGCTGTTCATTCCAGGGGTTGAGGAATTGAATGTAATCAGATTTCAGGGTTATTTTTGGGACGAGATACCGATCCACCCCATCTCAGAACGCATAAATTGGAACAATCTATTCTCAGCCACTTTGTTCTGGATGCTGAAATCAGACGATGGCAGACAAACACCAGCAGGGGGCAGTGCATGCTCTGTGCATGGCACAGTTGGGCTCATTCCCAAAGGCAAAACTGAGAGGTCTGACAAACAAAAGCTGCTCTCCATATAAAGATAACAAAATAGTTGTGAGGCTGCGTGACTCTGGGCATGTAGAGGGCCACGGGGTGGGGGGGGGGCTTGGACTTGACAAGTGTGTAAATCCCACGGCGGAGAACGCACTCTTTAAACTGCCAAGGAAAATAATAAATAATCCACACAAACCTGTTTAACACAATCTACATTTACTAACCCTGGCATTCTGATCTTGGATGAACTCGGGGGAGAGGATAAGAATTTTGCGTGTCCGTGTGAATATCTAAAAGCCTTTGTAAGCTAATATAATTCACTCGGCTCCGTGGCATGCACACGGTTCTCCTCGACAGTTGAGTACCGTATGCTTGTGTGTCTGCGACAAACTGTCTGGTGGCCGAGCCAGCTCCCTGCTTCAGTCAAGTGTATCCATTCATCTACATAAGAGGCTGTCATGAGTTGTGTTGACTTGCCAGCTCCATCCCCACCAGGCTGCCGTCGTCCCAGACCAGCTCGCAAACGCTGTCCCCGAGCAGGAGCACGGCATCGCACAGCAGCTCCAGAACACTGTGGAACGCACGCAAGCCTTCTGAGGAAACGGAACAAGAGCAGAAGAGATTTTTCTGACAAGATCAAATAACGCTGGGTGGAATCTAGTCGATGCAGGGGAGGGGGATATTTACAATATCTGGAGTTTATTCAAGCAGAGAAGAAAGAGAAAGTGAAAGAAAAGCCAACACTGATTCCCACCTGTCTGAAGCAGAGGTATAGCGTGATGCATGGTAGCAACAGTGAACTGGGCCACCGTGAGCTGCTGGAACTGCAGCTCCATAATGTCTTCTACTCCTAGATCAGGAAGCTCCAACTGCGCCGCATCTGCAGGTGAATGTGGCATCTCCCCGGGGGCCTGGGCCGTTGCCCCGCCTCCGTGTGAGCTGCCACTGTGTGAATCAGAGACAGCTGTCTTAAAAATAGCTCTAATCAAGTAAAAACAGCAGATAAGGAAAAAAAGGGTGGATTATCGATAAGGATGGAGGTTTGAAACATCACAGACAGGCTGCTAGACGCTCCTTGTGCTGTTTACGTCTAAGAAGACGGAAATCCTTCTTTTTATTCTTCACACTGCTTCATCTGCCCGTGTGGGCGGCTCGTGTAAGGAGCAATTCTATTACTACAAAAGCCACAGAAAACCCAAATGTGCACAAATTTCCCAAAAAGCAAACATAAAGCTAAGCACAAAAGGAGAGAACAGACCAGCTTAAAACAATATTTGCTTTAGAAGTGTGAGAGGAGACAAATCAGTAGAATCTTTGCTGTTATCCTCAAAATCACGACTACGAATGTTTACAGAAAAATAACAGAACAAGAGGTGTTTGCCCTTTTTGATACTACAATCTTCATTTGATTCAATCGAACACCTGTTGGAGGCTGCATCTCCATCTTGGCCATCTCCCCTGGCTCTCTGGCCTGCGTGTCCCACCACCGAAGGCCGGGGAGAGCGCTCGGCCCCGGGGGAGGACGTCTGGGAACGCTGGTTCCCCAAAACATCATGGGCGTAAGAAAAGGACGAGTTCTGTGAAGCTGGATCTAAACAGACACAAAAATGAAAGCATGCTTGCACTGGTAAAAATACAACAGCATTTCAGAATTCTACATTTTGAATTAAGAGGGTGCTTGTGCACATTAGCACAGTCGCCACCAGACATGGACGTTTTAAACACCTGTACGTGTTTACACGTGAAATCAATAAATAAGACAAGTCACCTTGCTTTGCAGAGTAGAAGCCTGGATCTTGATGAAAGCGCAGCCTCCTCCTGAGCCCAACGCAAAGCTGCCGCAGGCAGGAAACGGCGGGCGAGTGGAGGTAACTCGCCTCACCGCTTCCCAAAGCCAGCCGCAGCAGAGACAGAAGGTTCTGAAGACAGAAGGGGGCATCAGGTGTGGGTGGGGTGGGGGGGTGGGGGGCATTTTACAAAACAACTTATTTTATTTATTTATGTAAGTATAGTAAAACAAAAAATGCCTCCTGCTGGAAATGTGGTGGTTCAATAATTAAAAAGAGAACTGGAATTTAACTTCTCCACGTATCATATTTAAAAAGTCTAAGTTGGAGCCGTTTACTCGTACAAGTTAGGACAGACGTTCTTGGGAAAAGCCATTCAAGCAAAAAAGTAGGTCCAACCCACGTTTTCAGGCTCCTTCCCTAGAGTCACAGAAAATGTTATTACATCAGACGCATCGGATACAATCACAGACATAAAAAGATGACTTTATCTCGCCTTTTCTGCCACAATTCATAAAGCATCTATATAACCGTATAACAATTTTAAGCTATCTCGGTTTCTTCTTACCTTCAAAATAACAGCAGCTCTAAAAAATCTAGAAAAAATCCATAAACAGCAGGTCAAACCTCGACCCAACCCTACTCAGGCGCAGCTTTCCTCTTTCCCCACCCACAAGCATGTGTGTGTGTTGCCAAGCAAACTAACCAAACAGCCACTCTGTCAGCCGACGGATGACGTGCTGTATATACAAACGACAGGTCCGTCACCTAAACGTTTCCCAACAAGAACAGAACTAGACTGTAAACAGAACATGTAAAACCACTCCTTAAAGGAAAATTTGCCAACAACAAACACTCACTCTGTTAACCTAGCTAGCCCAGCTCCAACTTTGCTTCCTGTTTGGCTGCTCCAAGTCGAGAATGCACAGCTTGTTCGGATAATGGGTTATATACAGGGGGGGGGGGGGGTGTCAGAGGGCAGTTTGATGGAAGGATCAGGATTAAATCATGATGGATTACATGAGATTTCCAGGATTATACGTTTCAGAGGCGAATACAATTTCTCCTTCTTTTGACAAAACATTTAATTTATTGGTTGCCATCGGAATGTGAGAAGCATCTAAAGCAATATGGCAAAAAAAAAAAAACATCTTATACCCCACCTCTAATATCAATAAAAGCTCAACTAGAAGGGAAAAGTATATCAACATGAAAAGAAAAACTTCTTTTCAGAACGGATTTCTTAAATAAAGAATGCTAGTGTGCTAGGGGTCTGAGTGATTTAAGCAATATCACACTCGAGGTCGTGCGTTGTTGCTGAATATCAGCGCTGATGTGATTCGGTCGTGCGACCGAATCACATCAGCGCTGATATTCAGCAACAACGCACGACCTCGAGTGTGATATGGCTTTTATACAACAGTTCTACCTGCTCATTTTATTTTTATAACAACAAAAAGCAACAACAGATTATGATTTGTTCATTTATTTAATCGTTTATCAGGCTCCGCCAACAAAAATAGTCCCAACACGAAACGGAGACTCAGACAAGGCTGTTGCTAGGCAACACAAACATTTTCTACAAAGCACTGTAATAATGGTTAGAACGCCCATGCACAGCGGAGTAATACTGTTTGTAAACAGACCCAGTGCTGTTATAGTCCAATATCAGCACTCTTGGAAAGTCTCTTGACCAATCAAATCACTCGGTCGGAACTAACCGTTGCATAAATTTCATTCACCCTATAAAGGATCATTTTAGCACATACTGGCTCAAGAAAATGATTAAAAAATATGAAAAAGTTGCATAGTATCCCTTTAATGCACAACTTTATCAGCAAAATGTCATGGTGCAGAGTAATTCATTGAGGCTAAATGGTGTTTACTCACTCTATTTACGTCTAGACAACTCATTCACTTTGATACTGCCAAGTTGTAATCTACACTTGTCAATGTGTCAACAAGCAAAGCTTGCTTTGACAGAAATAAAGACAGATAGGTGGTGGCGGACAGTGGGAACTGCATGCTTCAGCCTCATAACTAAGGAAGTGAACTGGGTTGATGAATGTCAAAGCTTTGTCTCTTTCAGCACCCATTCCAGTTGTTTTATTTAAAAAAAAATCACACTCAAAAATTAAGAATACACATTTTGGAAATATTCAAGCTTACAGGAAATTGCAATTTAATGTTACCTGCACAATGCCAGGCCTCTGCAGGAAGATCTCAGCAGGAAAATCGTGCAGAATGACGTCACATAGAAGTTCACAAGTGGTTCTCACCAGGTTGGGATTGCTGCTCCTCAGAGAGCTGCAAGAGGAAATATCACAGCAGAGTATTTTCACATCCCACATTAGGGTGGATTTAATAACCCAGAAATATCAGCAAGTAAAAAATAGATTTTATCTCTGGGCGTAAATCCAAAACATTCTGGAGCTTAGAGCTTGTTGTGTGCCAGAAGTTGATTGAATAACAGAAAAATAATAGTGAGGTTAATCCTTTTTTTTTTACCTCTCATTAGAGGAAAGTATGTGCCTGTCTGTGTTTGTCAAAGTCAGCCACGGAAACACAGAAAACTTCAGGCATCTCACAGATTCATGTACTGCACAAAAAAGGAGAAATAAAAGCAAGAAAACATGTCAGCTGCAGAAAACCTTCAGAGAAGAGTGATGGATGATTTCCAGCGAGGATTACCTGCGATCTTCTGAGGTGGTACGTCTCTGCTGCTGTCCGTGTTCTTGTGGAAATAACCCATTTTAGGCAAATTATCCTCTGGTGAAACAATCGTTGGGGCTGCAGTGGAGAAAATACATTTTTATAGGACATATTTTTGTGCTGTAAGAGGGAAGTAATGTGACAAGTCTGCCAGATAAAATCCCGAAATGACAGTCATCCCCAACTCAGACAAAGATTAGATTTAACTTAAGACACCTGTTGTAGTTGTGCTGCGGGGTCCATGTGAGTAGACAGCTGACTGACTGGGGAGAAGCTCGGGAAGCTGGAACAGCTGGTCTAGAGCTCCATCGATGACAGCTCGCAGTCTGGGCTCCATGGTAGGAGATAACTGAGTGAGAAAGTCCACCGCCCCTACATCTCTCAGCATCTGGGCTGCACCGGGGTTCTTTGAAGACAAAAAAAAAAAAAACAAAAAAAAACACGATATTATCTCAAAAAAAGCTAAATAAGAAGGGGAGATTGGTGTGAAGGAGCTGTCCTTTTAAACTACATATACCCCCCCCCCCCCCCGCGACCCGACTCCGGATAAACAGATGAAAATGGATGGATGGATACTTCATGCAGATGTGGTGTGTCATGTTTTCAGGTAATAGCTTTGTGGAAATCTATTTACAATTTGTCAAACTGGGCTTTTTATTTTAATTTTTCAAGGATTCTTTTTTTTTTTTAGTTTAGTTTATTTCAAACAAAGAAAACATACATAATTTTTTTTTAAATACCACAACAGAAAAAATACGTATCATCATCCCTTCTCTGTTTGCAAAGGAGTAGGCTGAAGCGGAAACTTATATGTCCCTACCCCTTTATACAAGTAATTTTTACTTGTTTACTAAATCTAACACAAAACCTACATTAAAACAAACAAAATGGTACAAGTCACCAAAAAACCAAAAACCACCAAACCATATGGAAAAAAACAAAAAAAGAAGAAAAAAACATCTTTTTACAATTGATACAATTTACTTTTCCTTAGAATAAAGGACACCCACATAAATCATCTATTTTCCACTATATACTTGTTCAGAATATGTTTTTTATAATTCATTTTAAACACATTTATATTTGTACTTACTTTGATTTCTTCTTCTAAATTGTTCCATAATTTAACCCCTATTATTGTGATACACATCTGTTTTAATGTTGTTCTAAACTTATGTGTCCCTCTCAGGTTATATCCTCCTTCTCTCTCTGTGAACAGTTTCTGTATTTTATCAGGCATTAATTTACTTCTTACTTTATACATTATTTGTGCTGTTTTGTATTTAACCAAGTCCTGGAACTTCAATTCAACTTAAGAGATGGAGGCAAATTGTGCCTGTATGTAGCAGGCTCCTGATTAAAGTACCAGGAGCTTTATTTAAACATAAATCTTTTGCTAAGTTGATCGTTGCGTGTAAAAACAATACTTTTTTTTATTTTAGGATCTTTACAAAGTTCGCAGGTCAGTTTAAAACAAATTAAGATACAACAACACATTTAGAAAACGACAGCAAATGCAGCCGTAGTTAAAAGAACATTCTTAAAAACCCTCAGAAAGGTTGAAAAACTATTGACTACTTGAGAAAAGAAGTATGAAGAAGTGTGGGACGACTTGCACAAGCTATGTGATTTGTTTGGTGTTTATGTATAATCAACCGACTTTTCCCTCATATTTAATGACATATTCATAAACTCTATTTAAACAAGAAGCTCATAGTAAACAGTTAAAAATACATTAGTCCTATGGTTTATAAATGAACGCGTTTATGACGCTCTTAGTACTAAATCTGTGTCAGTACCTTCCAGAACGTGCCGTTTCAGGGCTCTGTCACTTAAGAAAACAAGCTAGAGGTGGCCACGCCCACCCCTCCCCTGATTGGCTGCTATAAGCTGAGAAGTCAATGTGAGATGTGCTCATCAGGATTAAAAGAAAATTATGTTAAACAAAAATAAAATACAACAGCAACACTACCAACATGCGACAGCACCTTACACATTTACACACTGGGTTAGATGAAGAGAAGAAGCCGATGGTTGTTTCTCCTAATCAGCCAACCATCGAAGAAGAATGAACAAAACTTGCCCGCATCTCCAGCCTTTTTCATATAACTACAGCACTTTGCTGTAAAGCTGAGGCAGTAATAGGGAGCCCTTGGTTATTTATAATTTCAGTCTGATTTGGGAATTTGTTGTGATTATGTGTTTTTCACTAAAGATCACGTCATGTGGTATAAAGTGGGTGTGAGGGCCGTCTCAATGCTGTCACGGACTTCCTTTTAGCTTGGACGTAACTTGT